TAAAACATGACTTTTTCCCAGCATACCAAAGTGATTCCGAAGAGAATGAAGGATGGTCCACCGAAAGTGAGAGGGAGAAACACGGGTCTGTATTTGCAGAGGAGTTTGCCCAGGTGAATGGAAGCTGTCTCCAGGAAGAAGATGATGACGTGGCGGGTTGGCAAAGAAGGGAAATGGAGAAACCTCGGGAACAAGCCACATCGGGGAAGGGGAAACAGTGCAACACAGAGGAAAACAGCCTGGAACACATTCAAAATTTGAAAGAGGTTGAGTTTAGAGTAGGGGCAGAGGAGGCGCGGCTGCTGCAGGGAGACGTCGCTGTGTCAAAAAGATTGGGCGTTGTGGAGGGAGAATATCTGGGCCTTTGTGAGCAATCCGAGCCGAAAGAAGACAGCACAAAGTTGGGCCTGGGTGTTAAATCCAGGCGGACAGAAGGTAGCTCTCAGCTGGGCCTTAGCGAGCAGAATCCGACGGAAACAGGGGGGAAGCTCAATCCACAAGCTGAAAATACCGATTTTGAAGAATCAATAAATTTGGGCTGGACTCAAACACAAAAAGGGAAGGAAAGTAAAAGTCGGTCAACTATTGATGGCTTTTCTAGAAATAAGGAGGTAGAACAGAACAGCATGGACATTGCAGAAGGGGACCCGTTCTGGAACGGTTTTGAAGAAGAACAAAGAGGCATAGAAGAGTGGATCAAGAAGCAAAGAGAGGAGGGCTCAACGAAGAAGAAAAGAAGGATCAAGATGTGTAGATCCGTGTATGCTAAATCAAGAGCAGTGGGTATGGGTCCAAAATTAAAGAAAGGAAGAAGAAAACAGTGCAAACAAGACGCAGAGGGGAGATCCGAGCCAAGCTTTCTACCCAGATCAAAGGGGAAGATTGCAGGCGACTCAGTAGGTGATAGCGGCATCCAGAATTGCAATAGATGTTTGAAGAAGCAAATGAAGAATAATTTAGCAGTGGAGATTTGGGACCTTGCGAAAAAGCTAGGGGCAGTGGCCGAGGATGATAGGGAGATCATTCAAAGAATTGAAGAGATGGAGAGTAGAGACAGCCGAGACAAAGCTGAGAAGGCAACTCACGGTTCTGGAGAGGCGAGGAAGGTTTGTCTTGATCCTGATGATTTTGTTGTCCTATAATATTAGGGGTCTTGGAGGGATTGGGAAGAGAAGGCAAATTAGGGAGTTAGTTAAGAAGGAAAAAGTGGAGTTTTTAGCTATACAAGAAACGAAGTTGCAAGCTGTAGATAATAGTATATGCAGAGGGGTTTGGGGTACGGATGACATGGAGTGGATTTCAAAACCAGCGGTGGGTATGTCGGGTGGTTTGCTGTGTGTCTGGAACCCTAAGGTATTAGAATTGATAGAGGTGATTGAGGGAGATAATTTTATAGGGGTGACTGGTGTATAGGGAGAGGACAAAATACTGGTGCACATTTTGAATATTTACTCACCTTGTCAAGTGACGGGTAAAAGAGCCTTGTGGGAGGAACTGCAGCGTTTAATTTTGAGTAGAAATGGAAATTGGTGCCTCGCAGGAGATTTTAATGCCGTAAGAAGTATAGAAGAAAGAGCAGGATGTAAAGGGATGACTGTAGAGATGGAAGAATTTGGTGATTTTATTCACAATGCTGGGTTAATTGATTTACCACTAGTGGGTCGAAAGTATACGTGGTATAACTCTAATGGAAAATTCATGAGTAGAATTGATAGATTCTTGATTTCGGAAGGCTGGTTTTCAGTATGGGGAGATGTGAAACAATGGGGTTTGCGTAGATCGGTGTCGGATCACTGTCC